CTTCGATTTTTTAATTTACAATACAATAATATACAATAATAATATTGTTTATGATAATACATTCTGGGCTTACAATGCCGTTTTTGGCGTTAGAAATTACTAACTTCCAGACATTTTGTAAACTCCAAACATTTATATGTTTATACCAATGATATATTAAGGGTCTTCAAAAAGCGTACGAAAGCGTATGGGGAGGGGGGGGGGGTTCAATTTAAAAGTACTTCGATTTTTTAATTTTACACAATTAACCAGCTAGTAAATAGAAAAGTTAAAATTCTGACTAAAGATCCTAGTTTGCCAACATAAAAAGATGTATTGTGTAGGGAGTAGAAGGTATAGTTTCTCTAAGCGCACACATGCATGGGCGCCCGGAGGATTTTTTGATGTTCCAGATAAACCACTTCCACACATTGTGCAAATACCAAACTTAAATATGTTTATACCTATGCCATTGGAAGAGGCCTTGCAAAAAATTGTTATGGCGGTAGTCTGGGAACAAAAAAGCCCTCAAATGCTTGCATCTTTTTCCCTGCCCAAACGTGAGGGCACTATTGTAGTAAAATTTTCTGACCCCCTTCCCCCAAAAAAATAAATAAATGAGGGGCTGTAAATTTTGCATCGACAAAATTTCCTTATTTTATATACTGGCCCTGAGTATACTCAGGGCCAGTATATAAGGGGTGGCATGTGTGCATGCATGTACAAAAAATAGGTTGCCTATTTTTTGAGTCAACAAAAAACAGGTTTTAGCAGTGCAATGGCTAATAGGTCAGAGACCCTACTCCCCCCATTCCTCAAAAAACAACGTGTAAATAGGGTCTCAAAATTTTCCAAATTTTACCGTTAGGTTTTGCTAAAATAAATTAGCAAAAGGGCATAAAATTTGCTGCTTCCCCACAACACCCCACCCCCTCTAATTACGGGGTATAGGTAGCCTACACCCGGCACTAGATTTTAAGCTTTGCTTTCAATATTACTCTTCTCACGTGACTCGCTTTTTACGGACTTACTAAAGAGGGGTGCCTGAAAAAAACGTCTACCTTAGGTATAGTTTATTTTTATTTGATGCGTCTCATTAAACAAGAAAAAAAAATTAAAATAGGACTTTACTGGAACTCGGGTCTCCGATGTCACTGCCTATAACATTATCCACTCGGCCAAGCAATCCCTTCGATACTGCAAGATTTAATTTTATTTAAGTTTATATTTGTATATATTTGATGATGTTTTTTAAATTGGGATCCTTTGTCGCTAACAAAAGGCTTTGGGGGTGTATAAATACTTTATGCGTTTTTCACCCCCAGCCATTTATTTTTTCTAATATAAAAATTTATTGAAATAAAAAAGGTGGAGGAGGTATCCTAGATACACTTAAAGTATCTAAGGTCTCTCCTCAGTCTTTTTTTTTCAAATGGAGGGGAGGGGCTATATGAAAAACATACGTACTTTTTAAGTGGGTGGGGACTTAAAAATACACATTGCAACAGGGGGGAGGGGGAGTCAAATTTCAGAATTTTTGGCGTGCGTACTTTATGGACGACCCCTTATATAACTAGATGTCTAACTTGCCGGATCTTATTGGACAAAAAGTGAAGCCGCTTTTTTTTTCTGTTTATAACAATAGTCCGCCATTTGTAAAAAGGGTAAAAGCTGAAGCCGAAATGTAGAATAAAAGTTAAAAATGCACGTCAAAAGTTACCAATAAATTAAAGGTAATTGAAAAACATGTTTTAACAATTATAAAATACTTTTAAAAGTTTTTTTATGAGCCAATGTTTATTAAAAAGTATTTTAATTCGTAAAAATGCTTCAAAATAGCAAGACGTCTTACTTTTCTATTCAAAACTTTAATCCATTTTTAATCGAAAATAAATTAAGAAATCATAAATTATTATTTTACAAATATTATAATTTCTGCTTAACACTTTTACGTAAATAGTATTTAAATTTAAAATATATTTACTTCATTTAAGAAAAGAAAAGTTAAAAATATTTGTTTACAAATTTAATCCGCCATTTGTAAAAAGGGCAAAAAGCAGCTTCACTTTTCGTAATGAAGTTAGACATCTAGTTATATAATATACCATTATGTCAAATAAGGATGCTTTGCAAAAAAATGGCGATGATTGGAGCCTAGGAACTTGTGCCCCCCAGCCCAAACGTGAGAACAACCAGTTGATAAAATATTTTTTGTACTTTTTTTAACTAGACTTATATTCATGGATAAGTTTTAAGTTTCATTGTATTTACTTTTAGCACTCAAAAATTATGTCCGTTTGTAACCCCCTATAATTGAGGAGGGTTAAAACTTTACATTGTCATAATTTTTGAATGCTAAAATATTTTACTACGAAATTTAAAAATTATCGATGAATATTAGTCTGGTTAAGAGTAGTACAAAAAATATTTTATCAACTGGTTGCTCTCCCGTTCCCAGGCTCCAATCATCGCAATTTTTTTCGAAAAGCATCCTTATTTGACATAAGTATAAACATATAAATGTTTTCGAGTTTGCACAATGTCTGGAAGTTAGCTATTTCTAACTCCAAAAAACGGCACTGTCGCCCCTGACAATAACTTAACATAGTATTATAATACAATGTTAAGTTAATGTCAGGGTCAGTTAATTAACTGACCGCAAAATATAAGAAGTCCGTTAGCAAGGTAATTTTAAAAATTATTCTTAACTTTTTAAAATAATATAGCGATATTTTTACATTCATTCTATTTTATAAGGAAAGAAAAGCCTATGCAACATTTTTTGTATATATATGTAGACGTATAATTGATCATCAAAATGTTTTTAATTGTGAAAATGTTTTTTTTTTTCTGAAAACCCGTTTGCAATGTCTGAAAACCCTTTTGCAATATTTGATAAAATTGTTTTAATTATCTGCAACTTTTTTCTTTTTAGGCAGAGCTTTTTATTGATATTTTTTTACAAGATACATAATACTCTCGCATATGATGCTTAGGTGTAATTGAATCATTCGGCCAATTATCACGGAAGTGTTTCATAAAATTTTCAATTTCACTTTCTGTAAATATATAATAATAATAATAATGAATATATATTAATAATACATGTCATACCAAGATTTTGAATGTTATCTTCGTTGAACTGCTTGCAGGAGTTAATAAGCTTGTGGAAAACCCCAAACTTTTTAAATAGGACTTTAAAGTTTCGACAAAGTTCAATAATTTTTTTGTGTATGTCAGTATTGTTGAAACCAAGTTTTACTACGAGCTTTGGTATTGAGTTGCATAGTTTAAGAATAGTTTTCATCTAATAATGTTTTTTAATTAAAATAAGTTATATATCTTAAATTACACTTTCAATTTACACTTTTTTTTATATATATGTATTAGATAAACATATACATATAAACAAATACATACTGACCATACCTATTTAAATATACTTTTTTCTTAATTTGGAATAAATGAATATACTACTTTATATTTAAGAACTATATGATTAGTTTACCTTTAAAATTTTGTTAACATGGTTACCAACAAAACTTTTGCCATGGTTTGCTTGTCTTCCCAGCGGACACGGCAACGTCCATATGACGTCAAAGGACGTCTTTTTAGGACGTCCAGAACTAGTTCTAAATGGAAACGCCAAACGACGTCTTTTAATAACCTAATTTAGACGCCTAAAACACGTGTTCTAACATGGCTTTACTTAAACGTAAGGTTCAAATTTATGTTTTCACAGAACTTCTTGAGAATAAGAAAAAAAGAATAAATCATTTAAATTTTTTAATAATATAATTGTGCTAAGTTTTATAAATTACAACTTTGTTAACTTCTTCTTCCACTTTCTAATTTCCAAGAACCGAATTTTCGAACAGTTGACGTCATTCACCTTCTTTTCGATCAGATGCACTCTTTAAAATATTGCCACCAGCATTTTAAAGTTTTTTTTTTTGCTGTAGGAATCAGGGAAGCAGTCTTAAACTTAAAAAAATATTGTTAAGATAAGTATGTAAAAATAAAGGGGAAAGAAATAAATAACATACCCACATATATATAATTGTTATTTTATAAACATAACATCAATGATCTAAAAATACGAATTTCTCAACACTAAACTAATTTTTTTAAAGAAATTTTTGACTGGATTGTTGTGACCAGCGTATATATTTATGTATATCAAATATGCAATATAATTGCTGTATTAAAAATGCTCTTTTTATAGTAAAATTATACTTACTTTGAAAGCATGCCCTTTTCAAATGCACTGCATGATGAGCCACCAACATTTAATAACTTCTATTTCTAAATTCAAAAGATAATACTAGTGTAATTGATATCGGACAATTTAGTGTAAGTTATATTGGGCATAGGAGCAATTTATTTGTGTTTTATTCAATTCAAAAATTTTGTGTAAATTATGTATTGTTTTAAGAAAAGCAAAATTTTGAATCACAGATTTTCAAATTTTGGAGGAGCTGAATGAATTAAAGAAGTTATTACTAATAAAAATTCATTTGGCATATTACATAAAATAAATTATATTACATTAACCATTACATAAAATGAACTATAGCCAAAACCGTTGTTCTATTTTTTTAAAACTGAAAGCGAAAATAAAAATGAACTTTAGAGTTAAATACATTTAATCAAATAAAATTTCTTCAATTTAAAACAAAATTACAAAATTAAAACAAAAACTAGAAATACATCAATTCTAGATTCCTAAATGCATATTTAAATAACGCTGTTGCTCGCGCAACGGTACCGTTGCTTTAATTTCTTTCCTTAAAGTTACGGTAGTGAGCTCTGATTGGTTGATTTATAGTTTCTCCAGAGAAATCTGATTGGTTAGTTTATTTAGTCACGGCAGTGGTCGATGGATTGGAAAGTTAAGAGAAATCGGTAAAATTAACACTTGAAGTTAGTGAAATCGTTGAATTGCATAAATTTACATTAGTTGAAAAGTTATTATAAGTTAATTGAAAATCTAACATTTACTCATATTGTACATATGAAAAATGGAGGCTATTAATTCAGCAAGTTTTTATTTAAATCAAAAATTTGACTCATTTGCATCACTGCAAAATTTTATAAAGGAATATGAAAATCTTAATTTTGTTCAATTATGGAAAAGAGATTCCAGAAAAATATTAGCAGCTAAAAAAAGACTTTCAAAAGAGCTCAAAGAATCTCTTGTTTATTATGAAGTAAAGTACTGCTGCATTCAAGGTGGTGTTAACTTTAAGTCTAGAAGTCGAGGACTACGCAGTGCATCGTAAGTTATCTAATTGTGCCACAATAAAATTTGATGTGGGTCATGGGCTATTTTAATGACGTTTTATAAAGTTAGAATAGTCTATTCTATAAAGTTTGACAAGCCACATGAAGTTTTCTTGTCATGTAGAATCAACTAACGAATTAATTTATTTCTGAATAAAGCTCTTACAAATTCAAGGGTGTTAACAAATTTAAAACAAAAGGTAAAGTAACTATATACAAATTAAATGCTTATTCATGTTAAATTCAGTAATAGCAATAATAATAATAATAATAACAATAATAATTTTCATCTTTAAAAATGATAATTTTTTCACCTTTAAAATACTGAATTGAAGCTCTTTCTAATGATATATAACAATGTAGTGTATAATCAATTTAAAAATTTTATGTTACATACCTATATATATATATATATATATATATATATATATATATATATATATATATATATATATATATATATATATATATATATATATATATATATATATATATATATATATATATATATATATATATATATATATATATATATATATATATATATATATATATATATATATATATATATATATATATATATATATATATATATATATATATATATATATATATATATATATATATATATATATATATATATATATATATATATATATATATATATATATATATATATATA